TTTGGAAAGCCTTCACATTCTTTTGACAAGTGTTCTATTTGTATTAGTTTTAACTACCTCAAGTAATATTTTGTTAGTTTATCGATAACTTTCCAACACTCATTATTTAATATTTAATTAGTTTATCTATAACTATCCGATACCCATTATTTAATGATTTGACGCGTGTTTATCAATAGTGACTAATTTTTTTTAATACAAACAATTAAAAGTACTGAACGTTTGTACTTGACAGTATTTTTATAAAATTTTATTAGACTTTTTATGAAATATTTTAGTTTAAATTATTTATCTAATTTTCATAATTTATACTTTATAAATTAAAATAATTATAAGTGTTCGTATGCTTCTTGCATGAATTTTATAAAAAAAATTTTATCTTAAATTTTGCACATAAATATTAATTCTTTATCTTAAATTTTGCACAAAAATATTAAATTTAATAGTAGTGAAATTAGATATAAGATATTTTATAAACATGCGCAATGAATAACACACAAACATTTTTCGTAATAAATGAATAAATAAATAACATTATGTTTGTAAATATATATATATATATATATATATATATATATTTTGTAAAATATTTGATCACGATTAAATTAATCTAATAAACAAATAGTATTATACATATATATGTAATATATGTAATAAATATCATATTACATAATATAAAGAGTATTTCGTAAATATCTTGGTATTTATTAGTAATATTGCGATAACATAAAAATATGATTTAAGTGTTAAATGGTAGGTATTTAATTATTTTAAACATATGTATGTTCATAAAATATTTTGTTTTTTAATACGTAAATCAGTCACATATTTAACAACACTAAACAAAAGTCCAAAATAATATAACATTTTTATTTTTTATAAAAATATTGACAAAGTCCAAAATAATATAGGATTTTTATTTGTTATAGAATATATTAACACAACGCAGTAACACGAGTAACATATGGAAATTAATTGGAAATTAACTAGAAATAGAGTAAAACCATGAGAGTGAAGTTATTAAAAACACATATGTTTGGACCGTTACCACATTGTTAGTGGCTTGAACCGTTACCTTTCACGGCAACATTTTTTATTTAATAAGATATATATTTGGTAGTTTATAAATACGCAATTCATTATTTTACCATCACATCCACATGTCTTTCACATATTTTTCAAACAATTGCTTACACACGGGTAAAGAAGGTATAGAAAATAGGATGGAGTATCAAAATTCGTGTGATGCGATGTTACACTGCTTTCAAGATTTAAATACTATTTTACCATCACATTCTCATCTCTTCCACATCTTTTTCACACAATTGTTTACACACGAGTAAAGAAGGTATAGAAAGTAGGGTGGGGTATCAAAGTCTGTGTGATGCGATGTTAAGATAGGACTGCTTTCAAGATTGAAATACTGTTTTCTGGGAATTGATATTCTACGACTCCGAGGTCCAGATCGAAATACCGTGACTGCGAGGTGATTCTTTTAAGATATTTTTTTTTTGTTTATAAATAGTTATTATACATATTTTATTATTATTTCCTAATATTTGTGTTTGTAAGGTTTTCAGGGATAAAGAATTCATCCCTCAATCAAAAAGATTAATGTAGTTATGTTCAAACGTTTTGGAGTCATTGGTATCCACACTTTATAATTGTAGCACCAAATGGCGACAAATATAAAACTACTATAGCAAGATTTAAGGTATATTTTATGGTGAACTTCAACATGAAAATTTCCCGAAGTTTATGTATAACTTCTAAAGTTTTACCGATTTGGCTAAAGACTTTTTTGTAAGGACTCATTATTGATCGGTAAATATATCATATGCATATAAAACATAAAATATATGTTTTAGTTATTGGAGATTAATTTATATGAGTGTTATACCTGAATAACTCTGTATTTATTGCATGAATCCGTAATTATATCTTATGCATATTAAAAATAAAATATATATTTTAGTTATTGATGAGTAATTTATATGAATATTATACCTGAAGAAACCTGTATTTACGCATTGCAACTTATGTCCCTGTTTCACGAGTTACAAATGAGAAATGATTGAAAATATTAATTTGTAATGATAAAGATACTTCAAAGACAAAAAACGTTGTATACAAAAAACGTTGTATATAAGGAAATGTTCAATAATATTTAATCGTTATGCATATGAATTGCAAATGTTCTTTTAATAATATTTTTTTTTTTTTTGTTTCGTAGCTTCCGTGCATTTGCACGGGTAACTGTACTAGTAAGTGTTAAAAGAGCCTATATCAAATGGCCCAAATGAAGAAAAGGCCTTGAATAACTCGTTGGGCCTAAACCCAATTACCCTTTCCAGCGAATATGTCCCGAGACCTGAAAAAGGGTAAAAGCACGAGAGAATATAATTATCCTCCGGCGCCCAGTTCACGGTCGATCTCCGGCGGACGCAACCTGCAGCCGGCACGGGGAACTTTGTACCATAGCTAAAGTTACAAGTAGGTGAGCTTCTACTCACTAATCGTCTACCACCAATTGCCCTGTCTGATGGCTAAATCCGAAATCCCTTCTGAAATTTTTATTCTCTTATAATGGCGTATGATGATAGCTTGTGAAGCTCTTATTAATTGGCGTCGAGAGACAAGTTCGATGTCATCTGAGGATTTTTTTTAATAATTTGTTGGGTAGGTTAACTGCTTAGCTGATATTGTGAAGTTTGTGTAGAAATTGATCAAGTACTCTTGTATCGTTTGTGAATCCATAGGTTTTGGATTGAATGTTTATGTTTATGTTTGCAGGATAATTAAATTTGAAAGAATTATCTGTAAAATTTTATGGTGCAAATAAAGATTGGTCCTTTAGTAAAATGCCAAACTGCAGGTAATGGTGAATAATTAGGGCTCTTGGTTTCTACTTTGATTCATAATTGGCTATTGAACTGAGTGAATTGTCGGTTTGGATGAGGTGCAGTCCTAAAAAAGGGTCCATTTTGAAAAACTGTTAATGAAAAACTCTCTTGGGTTTCATCTCTAGCCTACCCCAACTTGCTTGGGACAAAAGACTATGTTGTTGTTGTTGTTAATGAAGTTTCAAGAATTTCATCTGCAAAACTTGAAGCAATCGTGTGATGTGATTTAGTCACATATGCCGGAGTTTGCAGCTTTATATTCTGCATTTTGATTTTATTTGAATGTCGAGAGAAGATTCTGCAGTTTCTGGATCTTGTCCAGGTGACATCTGTATACACGTGTTTTACTGTGGCATTATATTGAAAACTATATATCCTTCAGTCGAGTTTCCTTGTGATCCTTCTCTTTTTTGGGGTGGGGTTAAAGAAAGGGTAATTTAACTTCATTTGTCTCTGCATGCACTCATGTAGTAGTTTTTTGTTCTTTGGGATACTGTGATGTTTCTGTTTTGATTGAAATATGATATTTGGAAGTTGTTTTTCAGGTTTAAGAAAATCAAAGAGGACACTGAAAATAAAAGGAAAATGAAGAAGTACGGGTTGCAACTTAGGGTTCAATCACAGCAGAAAAAACAGCCAAGTAGACCCCCACTACCCACCCCGCTTGGGTTTAACGACGAGGATGAAGATAATGTTGAAAGAGAGATTTTGCGCCAGGCCCACAAAAACAAAACTCACAAAGATGTTCGTCTCTCTCTCTCTCTCTCAAACAGTTTTGCTATTCCCTCATTTGTTCAATATTTGCTTAACAAATGTAGCAGGGATTATTTATTTATTTATCTATCTTTCGCATTCTTAATAGATTGAAGAGCAGCACAAGAAGGCTCTCGAAGAAGACCCTTCCGTGTTTGACTATGATGGGGTGTATGATAAGATGAAGGAGAAACAAGTTCGCCCTGTAGAGCAGGATCGCCAAGATAGAAAGGTAAAAGTGTTGGTTCTTTTTGCTTTTAATTATTATGACAAGTTCATATTTTTGTTGGCTACTTCAATGTAAACTTTGATGATGGTTTATGATGTTTGTTATATTTCATGCTACTTAGGCTATGTTTGGTAAAACTAGCTGATAGCTGATAAACTAGCTTAAGCTTATGAGTGATTTTCAAGCTTATAGCTGAAAAACTAGCTTATATGATAAAAGTGTTTGGTATTTTAGCTGATAAGCTTAGCTGAAATAAATATTTCAACAAGCTTATTTGAAAAACTACTCAGAGAAGCTTATGATATAAGCTCGAGCTTTTTAAAAAAGTTCGTCCTACCAAACGAAACTTATTTGAATACATGAATCTTATAAGCTAACCAAATAAGCTCTAAGCTAGCTTATTTGGTTACCAAACATAGGCTTGGTAAATTTATTTGAATAGGTATAAAATTTCTTATGTGTTACAATTGTTTAGAGGATCAGTGTACTCTGAACGACACATCCGTGATTGAATATAATCATTTACAAGAAATTGAACATGTTTCGGTGTATAAAAGTTATAAAACTGATGCACAATCATCTCCTTGTAAACTGAGATGAAAATGCTAATTATGGCTTTTCAAGGATGTTGGCTGTTCTTTTAATTAATTGGAAATTTTCATTAGTTATTTCTCACTGATGATTTTATTCTTTAGGAATAGGACCTTCACATACATTGTGGCAAATGGTCCTTATGTCATAGGTGCCCTTAGCTATAAGCGTTACGGAGGTCCAAATATTATGTATTATCGAAAATCTCTTATATTTGCTTGTCATATTGTTTTATATTTTCATACATAACCAAAATTTGTCATGGCAAGTAATTGTTTGAGAAACATTATTAGTTAAAGCATTCCAAATTTGGCTTGCCGTTTTACTAGTTCTTCTTTGCTCGAGTTTGTGTTATTTAACATCTCGATATTCAGTACCACTTCATATCATTTGCATCTTGTTTGCAGCCGAGATATATTCAAGCCTTAATGAATAAGGCGAAACAGCGAGAAAAGGAGCACGAGATTATATATGAGAGGAAGCTCGCCAAAGAGAGAAGCAAAGATGAAGACCTTTATGCTGACAAAGATAAATTTGTTACAAGTGCTTACAAGAAAAAGCTTGCTGAGCAAGCCAAATGGCTAGAGGAAGAGCGGCTTCGTGAGCTGAGAGAGGAAAAGGAAGATGTAAGTCCAGCTTGATTTTAGCTTTTTGTATAGATATTATTTCCCTTTGTTTTTTTCTTTTCTTTTCTCCACTTTATAACCGTAGTTCAATACAAACACTTGAAAATGTCTCATATTATTTTATTATTGTTGTTATTGTTCCAAATGTTGTGAAAAAAAAAAGAAAAAAAAAAACTGAATAGTGTATCATGATTTAGATATCTGTTTTGTATCTTTGATAATTTTTTTTTTAATTACAAAAAGTGGTATTTGTTATTCAATTGATCAGGTCACCAAGAAGATGGACATCAGCGATTTTTATTTCAACCTCGGCAAAAATGTCGCTTTCGGCGCTAGGGAAGCCGATTCCGGGAGACCTGATAAGCAGCAGCCTAAGGAACAAATGTTACAGCCACCGGTACAACCCTCTGATGTGGCAACAAATCAAGAATCAGAAAAAGAGAGAAATCATGATGAAGATGATGATGATGCTGAGAATTATTCTCCCGAGGGAAATCCCATCCGTACTTACACGAGACCCATTTCCAAATCTCCAGATCGAGAACAAGTCACGATTAACGAGCCAGCATTGGCTAGTAATCAGTCGATAACTGATGAGAAAAAAAATGATGTGACAGCAAAAGACCATCACAAGAGAAGTGAGGATGCAGTGGCTGCAGCAAAGGCACGGTTCTTGGCACGAAAAAAGGCGAAGGTATAGTAACATTAACGATAATTCCAGGTAATGTGTAATGATTGAAGTCACTTTTCTTTTTTTTTTTTTTATTTATTTGGGTTTTAATTTTTGCTGAATGGGTTGGGGCATTATGTAAGAAGGAAAAGTATTGTTTGTGTTTGTATGGAATGTTCTTTATTTTTATCACTTTGTGTCCAGGGGCTGTTAAATCAAACTGCTTTTTTTTTTAAATATGTTTTTTTATAAGTTTAGTGTATGTGAGCCAACTTTTTTTTTTTTTTTCCAAAATAATAAGTAAATTAGAAAACTCATAAAACGTCTTACAACCGGGGGTTTCACTGAACCCAATAGAACTTGCAAATACAACAACAACATACCCAGTATATTCCCAACTGGTTGGGGTCTGGGGTTCAGTTGTACGTAGACTTTACCCTTGTAATTATACAAGGAGGCGGTTTCGTAGCGACTCAAGATGCATTGCGTCGTTTGATTTTTTTTTTTTCTAAAAACTTCATTACTAGAAGAAGCATTAGAATTTAATTGAGTCATTTTGATCTAGTCCATTATTAGCACTATGCCAGGAGGCTTTCTCGGAGGTTTTTTGCACTATTAATAAGGCAGTAAGACCTTGCAAGCTAATTGTCAACAATGACTCTTCCAGTTTCATTTGCAATCGACAAGCTAGAACTTGCACTAGAACTTGCAAATACAAGCTACATAAAACCCGAGCCAGAACATCCTACTGCTCGTCGGACTCGTCCTCTGCAACTAAAACTACACTACACTAATATTACAATCACTTAATATTACATTCACCTGGATCAAATACAAAGATGCTACTAAGTTCATTATTACACAACCACCAAATATCCAGCAAAATGCTTTTATACCTGGCCTTACGCTCAACTTGATCTCTCAGAATTTTGACCACAGTGAAATCACTCTGAGATGCTATCAGTTGTTGGAACATACTTCCCTCAACAAATCTTCTGTGATCTCCATTGTACTAGATTCTGTCTTGTTCCATTTAATGATCTCTTGTTCATTTCTCACAGCAGCCCCAGTTAATCCCAGTTCACCCCTTGTAGAGAGTGAAGCACTGACAGCACAACTAACATGTCCTACTTCCTTGGAAATGACAAAATAGATCAATTTTAACTTACTCCAAACCTTTTTTTCTCTCTCTAGCAACTTCCAAATCTCCGGAACCCTCGTCGGCTCTGTTGTGAATCGCCTCCGCTCAGTCGGTTCCGTCTCTCCATGTTTTTGGCCTGCATCTGATCGGATGGCGCACCTCTAGCCCTGAAGTAGTCAATTCCTCCCGGCCAGGTATTCTCCTCTTCCGAGTAGCCACGGCGGTTCATAGAGTGGTCGTCCGAAGTGGTAGGGGTGATGTTGGCTTCAATCGCTGCTGGGAGTGGGCGAAGCAGGGATCAGCGACTTCTCCTCCCTCTTCTCTTGGTCTCTTTCCTGGTGTTGGGGGCAGATTGGCGGTGTCGGGGCGTGTCCTCGGTCGTGCCTTGCCGGGGCCGCCGTTCGCGGTGTTGGGAGGGGTTGGTCATGGGTCGCCGGTCGCGGCTGCGTTGGTGTTCTGACAAGGGGTGAGCTTGGTCCGCTGTTGGCCCGATTTAGTTAGTCGTTTCGTAACTGGAGTTTCTAGATCTGGTCCGGGCTTTGTGTCTCCTTGTAGTCGCCTTCGGGTGTTCGGTTGACGGGATGAAGGCTCGGAGTTATTTTCCGGCTGATGGGGAGGGCTTTAGTCTATTTGTAGGTGTGCGTGGTTTTGGATTGTGTTTGTAGGCTTGTTTCTGTTGTTGTGTTGGTTTTTTGTTTTCCTTGTTGGGTGTAGTTATATTCTTGACGTGGGAGTTAGGATTCTAGTGTTTGCTAGCTTTTAGCTTTGTGGGTGTGTAGTGTGGTTAATTTTAGGCCACATTCGTGTTCAACGAGTACGTCTCTCTCTGATTCTAGTTGTATAATTGTTTTCAGGCTGTAATTATATGTTTAGTTATTTATAAAGTTCCCTATCGTTTCGGAGGAAAAAAAAAACTTTACTCCAATTGTTTGCAGAAGCTGTTAAGTAAAATACAACTAGCAGTCCTTGTTTAGAAATCATTTGATTAAAAGAAATAAAAATAAATAAATTTAAGTTAATATATAATTTTATTTATTTATTTATTTATTTTTTTAAAAAAAATATAAAACAATTTCGATATTAACTATACTTAATATAAAAATAGAAAAATGTTTCGTTACGAAACTAAATATTTAATCGTCGGGGATAATTGATCTACCAAATACAAAATAGGACCGTAGCATCTCCCATAAAAATAATAAGATACAATCGATAATAATTGATAATTATAAATATAAAAGTGATGTAAAAATATATTTTATTAAAAAATATATAGTAATAATGTATTTAATCTTATAAGCAAAATTAGAGTTTAAAAAATTGAGATAAGTAAATAATATCATTTGTGAAGCATAAAAAGTTCAGAACACAACTATTTTATGTTTTCTCCGTAATGTAAAATTACACACACAGATATATAAGCCTAAACTCTCTCTCTTTTAGAGAGATAAAATCGGACAAAGAGGGAGAACTCAGCTGAGAGAAAAATCCGCGAGTTAAAGAGGCAAAGACACTTAGCGAGAGACGATATGGAATCTTTCGACGCGTATGTCATGGAAGGCGACGCGCCGGGGCGTTCGTTCGACGACGGCGGGTACACCGGCTACGACGATTCCTACGCCGCCTTCTCCTCCGCCGAGACGCCGCCGTTTTCGGCTCCAGCTTACACTCCGGAGTACGGCGAAGCCGAGGAGGTGTCGGCGGGCCACGCAAACAGCTCCGATCCGTTCGGATTCGGCTCGGACCCTCCCCAGCCGTTCGGATCGGCTGGTTCTGTCCCGATCTCGAACGGCAACGGAGGCTCGCCTTATAACCTAGGGGAAGATTCGGAAGGAATTTTCAGATCCGACGGCCCGATTCTTCCACCTCCGAGTGAAATGAACGAGGAAGGGTTTGCTCTTCGTGAATGGCGGAGGTGAGGTTTTCTTCAGCTCTGTTGATTGGTCCTGTTTTTTTTCTCTATATTGCCTGATTTGGATTATGATCTCGGTAAGATGTAACTTTGATTCGAACATTTTCTGAGTATCGAGCGCGTAGACCTAAAATCACTGGATATTTTTTGCTGGTAAAGCTGATAAAGATGAGGTTTTTAGGTAAAATATCCAATGCTGGATCAGTTGGTTCCTATTTTTTGCTGGTAAAGCTGATAAAGAGGAGGTTTTTAGGTAAAATATCCAATGTTGGATGAGTTGATTCCTGAGAAGCTATTTTTAGATTTAGCTTTAATCTCATTATAAATATCCCATTTATCTCTCCATAAAAATGATATACACTCTATGAGTCTAAAATCGATTACAAATAATTTGAAGGAAGCAGTAAAGGGAGCTTGCTTCAATTATTTGAGATGGTTTTATTTTTAATGCAAAGTCCAATTGGAGGGATGAGATTTCCTATTCCAAAAATTATGTTCGAATTCATGTTTCTTTCCGCTTGATGAATGACATGTGTCCATGAATTCACAAATATACACAGGTTGATAATCCAACGAAATGAAACCGGAATAGGAACATGATTCTGAAACAGGAAATGTGTTTCCTCAATGAGATGTCTAGCTGGGAAGTCGATGGAGATAAATTATATATAAATCTATGTTCAGGGAGAGAACAATCATCACAATGGCTATTGAAGATTGGATTTGTGTGAAAATTTGGAGAATAGTTTCATATGATGAAGTAGAAAACTAGATTGATTCTACTTAACAAATATTATCACATAATTTTGAGTTAACTGGAAAAATTGAGAGCGAGGGCACCTTAAGATTTACTGATTGGAAACTTTACGAAACTTGATATGTTTTCTGGAATATTGTATCTTTAACATTTTATGTCATCTTGCTAAGAACAAGAAATGTGCAAGCTGTACTATGTTATGAATGACTGAATGCTTGTTTGCCTGCTCAGATTGTATATACGGAACATTTTTTATTTTGATTTTGAGGGAAGGCGGTGCATTTATTTGCCTGTTTTTAAAATGTCACAAGTGTCTTTAAATTCACCCTACCATTTTGCCACTTAGATAGTTAGATCACTAAAACTGGTCAGGTATTATGTGCGAGGACTTGGAAGTCCATTATTATTATATTAAATATACAAAAATATAATTTAAAAGTCAATGTGCTGTAATGTTCATTTACAGCAAAAGGTGAGTTTATTCAACTGTTGCTCTCAAAATCAATGTTTCTCTAGTTTGGACTACTGTCATACTTGAAAGTGTGTTGATCTTCAGGTTTTCCAAGTTTATCCTGATTTGAATGGAATTGAATTGGATTGAGAATCTTTAGTTAATTCAATAAGATTGCATTTTGGTTGAAGTTTGAGGTCCAGTATTTGTGTGTGCTCGTATGTAATATGTATACGTCATTTATGTGTATGCATGGGGAATTTCACTCTGACCTGCTTATGAGTATCGGAGTCGGTGGTGCATAGGTGCTAGCACCAACCCTTACACGTTTTCACTCTAACTAAGTCCAAATAATATATTAATAGAAACAAACGTTGTCTCACTTGTATTTTTTTTTCAATCAGGCTGAACGCCATTCGTCTTGAGGAGAAGGAGAAGAAGGAAAAGGAAATGCGGAACCAGATCATCGAAGAAGGCGAGGAGTACAAAAAAGCTTTCTACGAGAAAAGAAAGCTCAATCTGGAGACCAACAAGACCACCAATCGGGAAAGAGAAAAGGTCACCGCTTCTTAACTCCATTTTTTGTTTAGGCTATGTTTGGTAAGCATATAAGCTAGCTTATAGTTTATTGATTTGCTTATAAGCTTCATGTATTCAAATAAGCTTGGTTTGGTAAGACGAGCTTATCTCATATTCCTTGGGTAGCTTTTCAAATAAACCCATTGAAATTTGTATTTCAGCTAGCTTATCAACTAATTTTACCAAACATTTTTGTCATATACGATAGCTTTTCAGACATGTTATAAGATATTTCGAAATTCACTTAAAAGCTATAAGCTAACTTATGAGCTATGTTTACCAAGCATAGCTTTAGTTTCATTTCCCCCAATCATTAGAATCTAGCAAAATATTTTATTTTTTTTGTACGCTTCAATGTTTCAATGTCCTGCAGCTATTCCTCGCCAGCCAAGAAAAATTCCACAAGGAGGTCGACAAGCAGTATTGGAAAGCTATAGCCGAGCTCATCCCAAATGAGGTGCCCAACATCGAGAAGAGAGGGAAAAAGAAGGACCAGGACAAAAAGCCCTCGATCACGGTCATCCAAGGTCCCAAGCCCGGTAAACCAACCGATCTTTCGAGGATGCGCGGAATATTGGTCAAGCTCAAGCACAAGCCGCCGCCCCACATGGTGCCACGGCCACCTGTTCCCGCCAAGGATGAAAAAGATGGGAAAAACACGAAAAATGACAAGGAGAATGCGGCCGATGCTGTAAAAGAGGCGGCAGCTCAACCTGCCAAAGGCTCTTCTAACGGCGGCGTAGCTACACAAACGGCCGATGAGAAGCAAGATAGCTAAATGGATTTTTTTTGATTGGGCGCTAATGTTATATTACGAGAATTTCTGTTTTGTATTTTGTTTTTGTTTTTTTCCTGTCTGGTATTTTTATCATGAAGATTTCTCGTTCATATGCATGCATGTTTGGTTAATAATTTTCTGGTACGAGGATATAGGCTGATCTGTTTGTTTCTGTTCTGGGGTTAAGACAATGGAGATTTATATTATTTGTGCTGTGAT